GAAACTAGTGTGGTAGACGTGGATGTATGATATCATGGCAAAGACTAGATTAGTCTTACTGTGGATAAATATGGTGCACCGTAGACCAACCACACGAGTGGTTCACCGCAGCATTAGTCAGGCAAAATACTTTCTATTCATACATAATAAATGTATTGAATCTATATGTATAAACTTATCATCATATCCGTGTGTACTCAGACTAACAGTATTCAGTCCGTTGCTTCTTATGTCTGTTTTTTTATAACAGTTGCTCAAAGAGAAAGGTCTGTTTCTTGTAAATCTCCATTATTACAGTTATGCTGCACAGCACTTTTGCTTAGGCTCGTGTTTCTTCTCCTTTGCCGATTTTGCTTGATGTCTTTCTTTTCTTGTAACGGTTGCTCATAATAGAAAGGAATGTCTATTTTGTAAATCTCTATTATAATAATTATGCTCCGGAGCACTTTTGCTTAGACTAGTGTGTCTCCAACTTTGTCAATTGTGCTTTATGTCTGTTTTTTGTGACAGTTGCTCAAAGAGAAGGGTTTGTTACCAGAGCTTAACTTGAACGTAGATGACATTGTGTGCGCATTGGATGAAGATCTTCAAGGACGTGCTGCTATGGTTGCTAACATTCTCCGAGAAAAGGGGCATAGTGTTGAGTTGGTTTTGGAAAGCAAACAACTAAAATGGTATGGTTCTTTTTTCATTATTTTAGTTCCTTTTCTTAAAGCATACTTGAATTGTAGGTCTTCTGATATGGTGTACATAAACCATAATGTTTATTCTCTTCTAGGGTTTTTAAACGAGCAGCCCGAGTAAATGCGGAGCGGCTTGTATTAGTGGGGAATTCAGAATGGCAAAGAGGCGTAGTTGGTGTCAAAATTCTCTCTACTGCTGAACAGTACGAGGTTAAACTTGATGATCTCAAATAAATCAGATTTTTTTCCTGGTTTATGTATTTTCTCTTTATTATTGGTATTTAATTTACCTTTATTTATTCACACAGACCTTGAATACTTGTTTTACATGTGTGTGATTACTCACCTACATCCGTATATGGATATGTGATTGATTATTCATGACCAAAAGTGTCTGTTCTGTTTATATTATTCATCCAATTAGGCTGTTCACCCACATTCAATGATCCCCTCCCCATTTTTAATCCGTGTGCACCTGCAAGGACATGACCGATTTCTGGACTGTTGAAAAGGAAACAGAAGACTGATTTGGTGATAACAGGCGCTGAAATACACAAGAGTCACTTTATTTTATAGTATCGGCCGATAGCTATTAATAACGAGGATTCATTTTAAATACAGTATAACAACTGTTTTAGTGTATACAATCCTTTCCCAATTTTACCCTTTATTTATATATTTCATTTTTTAAGTTTCGTAAATATTTTATTTTAATAACAGTATATATTTCATTTTTTAAGTTTTGTAAATATTTTATAAACTCAGCTTTCTTCAATTAAAAAAAATGTAATAAAATTACAAAAACCGTTCATTTTATAATTAATTTTTATAAATATATATTTTTTAAAAAATAATATTTTATTTTAATCATTGTAATAAAATTAATATTTATTTTTTTTATTGTAAGAAAAGGAATATATATATGCGCATAGATATGTTTCATAGTAATGATAAATTAATATTTATTCTTATTCCATTTTGTATTAAAAAGCCTTTTCCAATAATCTTCTGGAATTTTCACTTTAAATTTCAAATGTAACTATTTGTTTAATTTTCATCTTCGGGCATTTCTATTGCGGGTATGCCAATACATTTTCGTGGAAGTACATGGATTTGGATTATTGATTTAACATCGCCCTTTTTATTTTTTAATGAGATATCTATTTATTTCATTAAGAAATTATTTCTATTTTAAATTGTAGCAAATTAGAAATATTTACGTAAATACTATTTGAAATTTAATTTATATAAAAAATTTGATTATAAATTTTTTAAATTAATTAAAATTTAAATTATTATTTTTTGTGAACTTGCAATTATCTAATATTAAGATTTGATTCAATAATTAATCATGTCCTTATTTATTATTAAGAAATTTACTTTACTAAACACATTTAGCCTAATTTTTAAGCTTTGTTGTCTTAACTTTTTTAACATTATACTTTTAGCTACCTTTTCAACTTATTTTTAATTAATTTTACTAAGCAGAACTATAGTTTTTTTTTATTAGTTTTCACTCTCGAGTTTTTTAAATAGGCCACTTTTGTTATTTTTTGGAGCAGGAGTTTGTTAATCTAAACTTCTTTTCTTAGTTTTCAGTGATTAATTTGTATGGAAAAGGTTGGGGGAAGATTTTACGTACTTTATGGTTCACTACAGAATCCTTAGCATTCTTCATAAATCTTTTTCTGAAAAACTAATCATAAAATCAAATAAACAAAGTTCTCCGAGTAATTATGGTTTTGTTCTATATGATTTTACAGAAATTTTGCCTTTTTGATGGATCCAAGTGTGCTAAAGTCTTTTCTCTTCAGCTGTTGGAGGTTAAAACAAACATGGATTGCTCAAGATGATATTTTGTATCAGTTGCTTTCAAAATTTGATCTAAAGTATTTTTTATAAAAGTCATGATAATATTTTAAAATGATGTTTTCAAACATCTCCACGTTGCATTGGTAATTAATTATACGACAATTGCATATTCATGTACAACTACGAATAAAATCTATATGATATTTTTCAATTTTTAAATACTATTACTCTAAATTACTAGTTAGCTTGTCCAACCATGACTACAAATAATATTTTTACTGAATCTCCATTCAGTCTTCAATATTTCTAAAAAAATAGCCTTCAATATGTTTTTATTTGCATTAGAGTCTGGTTTTAATGTCCAGCCCAGCAAGTTGATAATTTCTTCATACACCCTAAAAAAACTTATGCTACACCCCTTTTTTTACATCCTAAAATACGTTTTCAAAATGTCAAAAAGAGGGTGTAGATGAGTTTTTTGGAAGATACTCACCCATTCCTATTCTGGATAAAATTTTCCGAAAGTTTTGATTGAGTGCAGAAAGAAAATTGATAGGTGCAGCCTAATGTTAAACCCATTAAGCCCAAACAAAGATGTTATGTGAATGATATTTGGGTTAAGAAAAATAACGGGTGGTGCAAAGAGCAAAGAGATCATGTAAATGACAAATCTGGACAAAGGTTTTTAAACATGTACAACATGGTCGATGTCTTAGTAGTTCCAAATTGAACGGGAAAATTGTTATTGGAGATGTAAATGAGTTCAGTTGTTTATGAACTATTTGAATTTTATTCTTTAAATATTTAGTCAAACTTGTTTATTTAATTGATTATTAATCAAACTAAGTTGACAATGACTTAAAAACGTTCGTCCAAAGCTGGTAAGTTCAAATTAACAACTTGTAAATCATTCATTTCTTTAAATTGCTGGTGATGAATGTTAGACACATATTTTAATAAATTATATAGTATTTACATGTTTATTAAATACTAAAATTATAGAACTAAATAATAATTTAATAAAATTTCATTAATATAAAAAAATTATAAACTAGGCATCCAAGCTACGTTTAAGGTTGCTTTGTAACAAGTTTAGTTTAATTTTTTTATTAGCATTGAAATGCCAATAAATATTCGTGCAGAAACATGACAATTGTTTAAAAAGACAAAAACTTTAGAAAATACAAAAACTGCATGCCATGCCATGTTCGTTTGCTTTTGAAGGAGAACAACATGTCACGTTGAAATCAACCAACAAGGTGAATGAGTTTGAGCAGTTAATGTATGGAATCTTTTAAGGTTTGGTTCACAGTGGGAGTAGAAAGATATCTAGCAGTAGATGAATTACATTTTAACTGATACTTTACTTCTTCTGAAGACTGGTTGAAAATAAGAGAAGAGAAAATTTGAACATTACATTACAGAAGACGTAATCTGATAAAAGTTTTGAAAATGTGAAAGAGAAAGTTGAACTGGGTTGGGACGTAAGGGAGCCTAAACATCCTTAATGTTCCTGAAGAAGGCTTGGAACGTGCCTAATGTCAGTAGCCAGTGATGTAGGAAATCTTAGAAGTAGATATTGTATAATGAAAGGTTTGATTGGGGTGATAACAAGTTGTCTAGATTGTTGGGTGAATGGAACATATAATATGATGATTATGAAACCGTATGAGTCACAGCATGTGTTGTTGTCTGAAAATTTGTCGTTAAGTAAAATGGTTACCCAACTCACTATCATGAGCGTTGTTAACGTACCATGGAATATGTCATCTTCACAAAGCCATTTTCAATCCAACCCATTATGCTGCTACACTCACATTTCTTACTTTATAGTTTTAACAAATTAAAGGGACCAAGGTTTGGTCCCCATTACGGATAGCAAGCACTTGAGCACCATGCACACTCCTCTTTTCTGTCATTTTCCTGTGCTGTACTTGATTTTTGTGCCTCACTTGTCCACAAACTCATCCCACATTTAGATCCTTCTCCGATTCTCACCTGCTGTCTACTTCAATGCCATGCACGTTTGTGCCACCATCATGTGATCTTAGCTCAATAAATGTTTGTCCCCTTCCTATGCCTTTGCCATTCCACCATCGGGATCATAACCGATCAATATTTAGGATTTCCATGAAAGGGATGCTGCATCATGTTGAGTGCCTGATTGTGATGTGTCTCAGATGGTCAAAGAGGTTAAAGTGCTACAAGATTCATGCCACCGCCACCGCTGTGCCATCAGTGTTGGAAAGTGATAGAATTTTAACAGGACCATTTGTTGCCCTCAGAAAAATACTTTTTTCTTTTATTGTTAATAATATCCCATTTTGCACCTAGAAAACTGCTTGAGTAAAGCTAACTCTTGTTTACTTGCGTGACCTCAAGGCAATATATCTTGATTCAAAGAGGTTCAGTTTCAGCCTGATAGCAATGTTTTTTTTTTGGTAGTTGCTTAAATGTACTGCTACGTTAGGAGGTGTGAGCATTGGCATGCATTGTTGTTGATTCTTTGGAGGAAAAGTTGCCTTGAATAAATTAAAAAGGATGAGCATAGGTTCATCCATTTCAATATCGTTCCTGTATTTGTCTGTCATTTTCCTTAGTAACATTCATAAAGACAAGAAGATACATTCTTGAATTGGAAAGGAAAGAGGGGGTAGGGATGATACACAAACTATACTATGGTCAAAGCAAAAATGCCAATAATTATAATGGGTATATGGCTAATAATCCTGTAGCTGGTAATATCATTTGAATGGCTAGCCTTCTCTTTCATCATCTTTTGGTCTTGTTGAAGAACTTGAACCTGAGGCCATTCCAATGACTTGGGTGTGTGTGAACCTTTGCAACTGAATCATGCGTGCATAAATCCCATCGGGGTGATTTTTCAACAACTGTGAATGGGAGCCTTGCTCAGCCACTTTGCCATCATCAATCACAGCAATCAGATTGGCATTCCTTATAGTTGATAGCCTGTGTGCAACGATGATGGTTGTTTTTCCAGAGGAGGCACGGTCTAGAGCCTCCTGAACCGACCTCTCAGATTCAGCATCAAGTGCACTTGTGGCCTCATCAAGAAGCATAAGCTCAGCTTTCCTCACAAAAGCTCGAGCTACTGCTATTCTTTGCTTTTGTCCTCCTGATAGCTGAACACCTCTCTCCCCAACAAATGTTTTGTATCCATCAGGCAAAGCAGATATGAACTTGTGTGCATTGGCAAGAGTTGCAGCTTCAATTATCTCAGCTTCACTGGCTGACTCATGCCCATAAGCAATGTTTTCATAAATTGTAGTAGCAAACAAGCATGGCTCCTGAGGTACCACTGAAATGTGCCTTCTTAAGGACTTCAGATTGTATTTCCTTATGTCCTTGCCATCAATCATGACCCGACCAGATGTTGGATCATAGAATCTCTGTATAAGTGCAATAACTGAGCTCTTACCACAGCCACTAGGTCCTACAAGGGCAAGAGTTTTGCCAGCCCTTGCACGAAGACTGAGGTCTCGAAAAACTGGCATGTCAGGGCGAGTTGGATAGAAGAAATCTACATGCTTAAGTTCAACTTCACCACGGAGACGATCAGGAAAAGGAGTGGCATCTTGATCATCGGGTTCAATTTCAGTCCTACGGTCAAGGAGTTCAAAGACTGACTTCATGGCTCGGCCTCCTTTGATAAAGTCAGGAGCAAGTGTTAAAGTTTCAGCAGCACCGTTTGCAGAAACCATTAGGACCATAAAAACTCGGATTGTTTTAGAGAAGTCAGAGATGCCATGCTTCACTAGCCAAGAAGCATACCAAAGACCAAGTGCATAGGAAGCATAAAGTGCAAACTGAGCTACACCATATCCACTTCCAGAAATTTGTCCCTTCCAAAAGCAACGCTTTAGTGGAGCCTGGAGATTGGAGGTGAAAAGACCCACAATTTTTCTTTCTGAATTGAAGGCTGCAACAGTCCTTACATTGGCTATAGCTTCTCCTGCTAGTTGTGTAGCCTTCGCATGAGCAGCTTCCAGGTCACCAGAGAAACCAGTCATAAACATTTTCTGTACAACACACAAAAGAATACAAATGAAAACACAGAATTGAATCACAAAGAGTTTCAACAAAGAAATGTACAAAAAAACAAACCTGCAAAACAGTGGCTGCAACAACAATAGGGAAGACAGCTACGAGGACAAGGGCAAGGCGCCACTGCAACACAAAGCCTGCAGTACAGGCAACTAGCATAAGTGCAGTGTTCTGCACAATTACTGAAATTCGATCTCCAATGGCTGATCTGACATTGTTGGCATCAAGAGCCAGCCTTGCGGCAATCCTGGCACTCTCATTTTCCTCCTGATCAAACCACGCCATTTCATTTTTTAGCACCGCCGTAAGCATTTTCTCCCTCACACGTTTGGTAAGATTTTCCCCAACAATGTCCCAGAAGAAATGTTGCAGTGTGTTGAAGAGAAGTGCGGTTGATGAAAGTCCAATCAACAAGTAACAGTACTTTTCTATTTCACGGATCATGTATCTGTGGTCTGGATTGTAGTACACACTGAGGACAGCACTAAGAACATAAGCAAAGAAGGCACTGAGAGATCCACAAATAACAGATCCTATGGAGCCAATCAAAGCATAAAGCCATTCGGGAGAGTTCATTTTTGCAAGTCTCCAGAAGGAACTAGCTTGCTCCTTGAAAGCCAGCTTTTCAAGCCTGTAATTTGAATGTGATGCATCTAGGGAGAGACTAAAATCAGATGTAGAGAAATCAGACAGCCTACGCGAGTATGGTGACCGTCCGTAAGAAGAATTCCTAGCAATTATTGGTGAGCTGACAGAGTTTCTGGCACTTGAAGGCCTGCAAATGAAAATTTAGTGGCCAAATGATGAATAATCTTTCATAAACTAAGAAAATTAACTTCATTCAGTTTTTTCAAAGAATGCCAATGTTGAATATTAGTGAAAGCTACCTTGCACTGCTCTTTCTGGCATTACTCATGGCAGTTTCATGAGCCATCTCCTGCATCTTTATAAGCTTGGCATAGACTCCATTTTCACCTTTTGAGAACAGCTCATCATGAGTTCCAATTTCAGAAACACTTCCTTGCTGAAGAACAGCAACAAGATCAGCTTTGCGAATTGTGGAGAGGCGATGGGCAATGACAAGAGTTGTTCTGCCAATCATGAACCGGTCAAGGGCTTCTTGCACCAGTTTTTCTGACTCTGAGTCCAATGCACTTGTTGCTTCATCTAGGAGAAGAATTGCAGGGTTTTTCAGCATTGCCCTTGCTATTGCTATTCTCTGTTTTTGCCCTCCAGAAAGTTGCAGCCCTCTTTCTCCGACCTGCCAACACAATACATTTTAACTTCATCAGACATCAGTCTAACAATTTTTCATTTTCAAAGCCTATGTTCAGATTGATAAAAAGAGGTGGAGTGAAATAAAATAAAATGAAACGACATTATTTAACAATGTTTGGCATGTTTAAGACAGATGAAATGGAATGGAATCTACTAAAATGTATTCTAATTCATTTCATACAATATCTATTCATATTTCTTACACAAATTCCCAGCCATTGGACGGAAACAACAACTCCATGATTCTCTTACCATTTCATCCACTTCCAGAACAAGTGAAGGAAAACTTTACCTGGATCTATCTATCTATCATAAAATAATCAAGCAATGGAATTGTATTTTTATTCAATTCAGTTAAACTTTCATCCTACTCCACTCATCTTTTTGCACACAGAGGTTAAGACTCTTGTTCCTTGGAGGGAAATAAGGTTACTCTCAATGAAAAAGTCCAGGACTAAAATTGTGAATATACTACCTCTTTCTGTCTCATCATCTTTAAGTTATATTATATGATTCCTTCTTTCAGTCAACGATAATTAGTTTATTAAGAGTCCTATCCATAAGTTATATATACTCTTGTGGAGTCTAATTGAGAAGAATTTTCATGGTCTTCATTTTTTGTTATATCCCGAGTATTTCCAGGTTGGTCGGTTGTCATGTCCTTATTTAAGAATGAACATGCACGTTGACAGAAGCATGTTAACCTCTTTGCCTTTTTGAGATGCAACGCATGAACATGCACTTCCTGGCTTTGACTTCTGAACAAATCTCATTTTTATATATTTTTAAATGAAGATGAGGTCTGTTTGTTGACCAAATAAATGTAAATAGTCCAGACAATACTCTATTTGTGTGGTGCTAATTACCAATTGTAACAATTCTGGAGGTAAATACATTTATATTTTATCATCCACTTTTTCTATTTTGCAACATATATTTTATTTTATACAATTTATAATAGAAAGTGACTGATAAGTGAGACAACCGTGGAAACAATCAAATGCTTCTTCTGTAGTTCCACACCAAAGATTCAAAAATCCAATGATGTGGACTGGCTAAAAAGGGCCATCGTCAATCATCACTGCACATGCAATTACTGAAGCCATTTTCATAAAACACAGATGGCTAACCTGGGTTTCATAGCCTTCAGGAAGTTTAATGATGAAGGAATGCGCATTAGCAACCCTAGCAGCTTCTTCAATCTCAACCTGGTTTGCATCAGGCCTACCCAACAGTATATTTTCTCGTATTGTGGTTGCAAACAAAGCTGGCTCTTGGCTCACTAATCCTATCTGCTGCCTCAACCATCTAAGCTTCAAAGTTTTAATGTCATGCCCATCTAATAGAACTTGTCCTGCACACATTTTTTTTTCTCAATATTAAAACTTCAATCTCAAAAAGTTCAAACAAACTAGTCAAACTTTGCACAGCACACTGAAACTCTAATTTTGAAAGTTTACCTGAAGTTGGGTCATAGAATCTCTCAATGAGGGAGACAACAGTGCTCTTACCAGAGCCGCTGCTACCCACGAGAGCTATGGTTTTGCCAGCAGGCACATTCAAGGAGAAATCATTGAGGATCCGAACCTCTGGCCTAGATGGGTAAGAAAAGTCTACATTTTTCAGTTCCACAAGTCCAGTAACAGTCTCTAGTTCAATGCCAGATTCGCTATTTCTATCAATACTCGGCTTGTGATCAATTATACGGAAAATCTTTGCAGCAGCTACTCTGGCCTTCGTAAATGCAGCCATGCTTGGTGCAGATTGCCCCAAACCCCTGTGTGTACAACAATCAAATCCTTAAACATGTTACTATCATAAACCTTAAAAATGAATGGTTCTTCAATGGCCATAACACGAAAATGCAGAGTACTAGGACTCACAATCCACCGATCATGACAGCAAACATGGTTGCAATGGCAAGTCCTCCATTGGTGGCATGGTGCCTAACAAGATAACCTCCATACCATAGCAGAAGCGCATAACAGCAGAAAACAACAAAGTAGGTGGCCCCCAATCCCATTCCCTTCGCAAACCCAGTTTTGTAACCAAGCTTCTGTGCAACCCTCAAGGCTGATGAATAGGCCTGTAATGCTCTGGACTCCCCAACGAAGGCCAGCACCACTCGGATTTGTGCAACCGTCTGCAATGCAAAAACAATGAGAGAAGTAATGTAATGCTGATTCAAATCAAATTCAATAAACAGAGTTTCTCAACTTTGTTCTCCTCTTGAGTCTTACCTGTTCCACAATGTTGCCAGCTTGAGCGAGAGCTTCCTGGCTCTTGCCAGAGAGCTTGGCCAAGGTGGTGGTGTGAATGCCTCCAATCACAGCTATCATAGGAACAACAGCAAGAGTGACCAGAGCCAATTGCCACACAGCAGTGAAACCCACAACAAAGCCAGAAACAAACGTAGCCATGTAGTGGATGAAATTCCCCAACTGCACATCAACCACCAACCATCAAAAAAAGAAAAAAAAAAACTAGTTCAAATCTAATGGCAAAGCCAAACAAAGTAAAAGAAATCTTCAACTTGTTACCGCACCTTCTCACTAATGGCATCCTGGACCATGACAGCATCGCTGTTGATGGCGAAAACAACATCGGAAGTCCGCACATCGGTGTCGAAGAACTGAATGTCCTGGTTCAACGCAGTCTCCAGATACTTGATTCTCATCTTGGTGGATTGACGCTCCCCACTCCACATCCAACACGAAATCTCTGCAACAACTCCAAACCCATCAATGAAAATTCAAAGCCAAAAACCAGAAACAAAGCATAGAGACGCAATTCAATTCAACTCACTCACCTGCCCAGGATGATGCCCATATTGCAGCCCCCACCACCAGGAAGTAAAATGCATACTGCAAAAATATCACACAACACAACTCATTCACATCAACTCCAACAACAAGAAAAAACACCCATCTCTAACAATACTCCCGAGTTTCGTTTGTGATGGTTGTTATGTTTAATTGTTACCTTAACCACTTCCTGAGTCATCTTGTCCACATCATTAGCATTGGAGCCAAAGGAATTGACAAGATCCGCAAAGAAGCGAAGAAATATAGGCAGTGAACAGCCGTGCACAACTGCTCCAACCGTTCCAATTCCCATGAGAACATAATCCAACCCATCAGCGAATCTGAAAAGCTCTCCGAACCCAACAGAGGGAACACTCTCTGCCTTCTCCCCACCAATGGAACCACCGTTCACAGTAACCGCAGCAGCAGCAGCATCTTTGTTGGGTTGTTCACGAGCAGTCTCCATTTCCCTTGGAACTTGGTCTTGTTGTTGTTGTGAAGTTGCAGCATCAGGAACAAGCTCAAGGCCTTGCATTTCTGACCATTTCCACTGCTCTATGGTTTTTATCTCCTCAGAATCTTTTGACATTTGCAGAATTGTTTATGCACACTTCCCACCCTCCCCTCTCTACTTTATTGTCTCACTCTACCACTCCTAACTCATGCTAGTACTGCTAACCAACTCTTCTGGTCTCTCGTAATATCTCTTTCTCTATTATTTATTATTATCGGTGGAACTATTTTGATCTGGCTAAAGCTTCTTAATTTCACTCCTTTTATTCTTCATTCTTCTCGTTGTTCGTCCAGGGAGTTATGGGCACATTCCGTCCTTCCTAGATTATCTTCTTCTTGAGTTGAGTTGAGTTTAGTGAGTGTTAAGTTAAGTGGGTTAACGTGGAGTTTTCCTGTAAAAAATACCGAAAGTGACACATGGTGAGAACCTAGACAGAGAAAAGTTTGGAGACATTCATTGAGATGATGAGATAGAGAGAGAGAGAGTTTTGAATTTCCACCCGACAAACAACACTGTTCTCACTAAACTTCGAGATCAATTTTTGACTCTATCATATGCAATACAGAACAGGATTATAGTATTATTCTTGTACGTATTTTTCACATTTTCACTTTTAGAATAACAATAGGTTTCACACGTTAAAAAGTCCCTCACCGTTTAAATCTTTTTATTGGATCTGTAAATTTAAAATGTTATCATCTTTTATATTTCTCTGATGCTTAGAGTTAATAAAACTGCCACAATTAATTTTTAACTATTTTAAACTGCATTACAGTTTATATCTTTTAATTTAAAAGTAGTTTTCTTTAACATGGTTCCTTTTCTTAATGGAATAATTTCTTGGTAAAAAAAAATAATTAGCAGGATGCCGAATTTATTCTTGAAGTTAATAATTTACAAAAATTAAAACTAAAAAAATGGCACAGGGAAATTTTAGCTACTTGTCCCAATCAGAACCCAGGACTCTGCTTTGCACCTTTGTCACATCTCTTCCTCTTTGTGTGCCACTTTTCTCTATTCCAACCCACAAAACCTAAAAAAAGAAGAAAAGAAAGCACGTCACATAAAAGAACAGCCATTTTTTTTTCAAGAATAAAGCATTCATGCACATGATCTACCACCAATTATTTTTATGCTTTCTACCCAGATAAATAATTTTAAAAGGGTGTTGCGGTTTTGAAATCTATGTGCAAAAAATAATTAAAATGGTTAACCCAGAAACGTGTTTGTTCTTAGGCTGCAAAGCTAAACGTGGAAACCCATATTTCCAGTAACATTAAAACCATGAAACATTTTAGGAATCTTATGTACTGAAGATGAAGAAAGCCAAGTACTTGCACCACATTCGTCAGGCAATCCTCAACGTATCTGGGGATTCCTCCAATTTTTCAGAATTGTATAGTGAAAAAGACAGCAAATAATGATTTTTTAAGTGGAACTATATCTTCTAGTATAGTTTAATTAAAATATTAGGAATTTAGAACCATCATCATTATTATTATTATTATTATTATTATTATTATTATTATTATTATTATTATTTTTCACATTTTGAATCTTCAAATAGCAAAATTAACGTCTACTCCATCAGAGACTATAAAGTAAAGCAGCATCTTACAATTACATCACGCTCTGAGTTTGATTAAGATCAGCTAGAACAGCAACAGCAGGGTCAGCTCCTCTTTTTAGCTTAAAAACAATAACGTGTCTGAACTTCTGACACTGTTAAATTCCTTTTAGCTTTTGAGACTCTTTTCCTTTTTTTCCCATTTGCAATTAGTGACATGACATTTTGGCAAGGCAATAATTAAACCAATATAATATTAATATACACAATAACATATTTTCTTTTCTATTTTTTTAAGATTGACGTGAAACCGAAGGAAACCAAACCAGTAAGGAAGAATGGCTGAACATATTAGTATTATTGTAAAGAAAAGAGAAAAAAATAGAAAGGGGTACGTTGGATTTCTCTGTTTTCTTCTTTTTCACGCTTACCGTACAGCGATGTTTGTGGTGGAACCAGAAAAGGAGTGAGGAATTGTAAAGAGCATCATCTCACCATTGCAGTTCCTTCTACAAAATATTAATGGTAATTCCTTTTCCCTTGTGTTTGCATGTTTACTATACTATACTGCAATTCTGTAGTTAATGCATTATGCGATTAATTTTGGTTGTACTAATGAAAAGCTTCTCATTTATTAATCTCACTTGTTTAATTCAGATTTTGTAATGAAAAAACATTCACAGTTAATCAAATAAAACAATAACATTTATTTCACACTTTATTGCCTTTTTACTTTCGGACAATTATTAATAAATAGTTCAATTCTGTCTCTCATTTTAAAATATATGTAATTATTTTGTGTTAAAATTTAAGTAAATTGGGGAAGTTAATTACTAACACTTTTAAAATTCACCAAAAAAGTTGTAACTGATAACGTTGTCATATGTCAATTTACACTACACAGAAAATATAAAATGAAATTGATTTAAAAAAAGTCAGAGGTTAAATTACTTTGATGCTTAATATCGTTACAAAATTTAATTTAATATAATAAACAATAAGGAAAAAAAAGGTCAACCTTTAGTTTAGATATTATTAATATAATATATTTTTTCATGATATTTTTTATATTTCTTTGTCACACACCCACCAAACCCAAGCATAAGATAAGACTATTAATAATATTGAAAATCATACACTATTATTCGGTAATAAAATATTCATAAAATTAAGTTTCCAAACTTAAAGTTTATGTTAATGTACGAGAAAAATCTTATAATCAAAGACTAAAATATAAAACTGACAGAATATAAAAGAATTAAAAAAAAAAGAGTTTAAAAGGTAGTGAGAAAACTAGTTCCCACTCAAATTGTGAGTTTTACATTATGATTCGATCTTAAATATACTAAATTTATTCACTTTTGTAATAATTGTTTTAAAAGTCATATGCTAACATGATATTTAACCTTTTAAATGGATAATTAAATCTATTCACATATAGTGACATTTACTAGACTTGAGAATAATAAATTATTATTATTAAATTTTTTGAAGTATTTTATTAAATTTCACATCATGATATTTTTAATTTGTTAAATTTACTTTCAAATTCATTTTATCAATATCTTCCAAATTCATTCAAATGTAAATATTAGTGTAACTTCTATATTAGACATAATAAAACAGTTGAATATTTTATAAAATAAAAAAATAATAAATTTATTATTTTGGATATTAATTTTTTATATGAATTGAAATATTAAATATATTTAATAAATCTATCTGTTAATTGAATTTTAAATTAAGATATATTCTAACTCATATTTTGATATTACGTTAAAAAATAAATTTTAGATTTAATTGAATTTTAAAAATTGATTTATAAAATGAAATTTATATTTATTATATATTTTAAACGGACTTTATTATTAATTGACGTATAAGTTTTAACAGTTTAACAAGAATGAAAAAGAAAAAAATAATGTGAACGGTTGAGATAAGATGGCAACGACACAGTGATAGAGTGAGAGTTGAAAAAAGTGTATGAATGGGAGTAGGAATACGTACAGAGAGATGTAGATGTAACAGCTTATGTGTATATAAATGGAATGTGGAAGACTGCAACAGAAACCGGAAAGTCGTAAAATGCAAGCTGAAAAAGTGAATTTCTGCTTTGCATTTTTTTCTCTCTTTAACTTCTTCCCAACGTCATGCACTGCATGCATAACTTATTTACTTCCTCTTTTAAACTAATAGTTCAAAATTACTTGAATTTTCTCTTTTAATTTAATTCAATCTGTTGGATTGAATTAAGTAATGAATTTAATAATTGGATGATGTTGGATGGTATACTTACTTTCATGAATGGAAGAGTACTATGCACTGAGTTGGTAACCTCAATTCCCAAAATAAATTTTAACAGCTTTAGATCATAACAAATAATCAATTCCATATTTTACTCAATCATGAGATTGAAAATTTTCAAACAGACACTTCAATGTTTTAAATAAGATTCACCTGCCATTTTCTCCCACATTTTTATAGCTCGTTCTCTGTTTTGACTACGAATTATGGTAATCATAAAGAAGAATGAAAGTTAGTTAGCTCAGTAGTTTATTTTGAAATTAATCAATACATGGCTTAAAGTGAGAGAGAATCATAACATAATGCATTGAAATTTTAGGTTGAATGGAATTTTATCTATAAATACTTTTTTTTATGTGGATGCATTGATAAATTAAAATAATATATACAAATTAAATGTAACTTTAGTATTTAATCTTCATGCGAAATTTTAGAATTTATAGTATAGGAGATCTTCTTTCTTTCTTATACGCGAGTCTATCATTTTTATCTCGCACATAAACAAATTATATAAAACATGATGTTCTTAGTCATGAACAACAATAACTCTTAATGCTCTTAAAGAAAAATATCGAAAACTATGGATTTGATGTATGCTTTAAAAGTACTCTATTTCTAATAACTTTTCTCTTCCCGTTGCCTTTGGATAAAATACTTTAGTTTACATTTTGAATGATCACCATAAATCTATATAGGGTTCATAAAATATACGATTCGATTGCCCCAAAATCAGAAAATGGAAGATATTATAAGGTGTTCGAAGTTTAAATTGAGGATTATGTGATTTGGCCCCACTAATAGAGAGGATGGAGATTCTTAAGAGGTAGGATTTGTAGGACACAGAAAAGAAAGGGGAACATATATTAATATACTATGGTGAAGAATTCCACTTTGAGAAAAATTTGATCAATCAATTCCTTGTCTTGAGCGTTACATAAGAAATAAAATAGGGTTTGATGATAGAGGTATGGCCCTCCCATTCATACAAGAAGTCCAACATCCAATGAGAATGAGATAAAATAAAGGAAAAAGTCAAATAAATTTCCACATTGTTTGTTAAAAGATTAGGTGAAAAGAAAAAGGGGTCGGTGATCAAACTTCCATAAAAAAAGTAAACTTATTAACACACCACAATGATATTTTATTCTCTCATAATGAGCCATGTTTGGGGAGAGAGAATTACATTGAATTGAAAAGGTCAAAAAGGGGTAATAGAGAGAGGTAAACTATGATGGCTGGAAGGCCTAAGGGTGATGTTCATAATTGATTTTTGCATACTTGTGCCATAGATTAGACCATTAAAGTTAACCCAAATACAACAAATACTCAAGTATCCACTCAAATACTTCTCTCAAAAGTGGTGTTTTGTGACACTAATTATGCCATTCCATTGTCTTTCTTGTGGCTGGCACTGCACAAATTGTGTATATTTAAACCATCACAAATAGATCATGTGATCTTAATTATTAAGTTATGTTCATTCCATGCCTTCCATACACAACTTCTCTCACAAGGTGCATCCTAACCACTGAACTAGTGACAGCAGTTCCTGGTCCCACACCGAATTTTCAACTTAGCGGTCTACTCTTGGATATCTATGTATTTGTAATATTCTTTTGAAATATTTTTGTTTTTG